CGGGTACTGTGTCCCTTCTGACAGAGCACCTGACTACTATTATCACTATCACGCAGTCGTGACGCTGACGAAGGCAGGGCACGGTCGGTACTTGCAAGATGAAAGTCGATTTGGCCGGACTTGTGGCTGATAAACGGATAAACCAGATTACAGCAACGCACATTCTCACTGATAGCGACGAACCGAGTGTCGGCCATCGATGAATTGACCAGCTCTAAAGCGCGTCGGCATTCATACATGTGCGGTCGACTATTCCAGCGTTATCGCTAGCGCCAACTTGAGTTCTAGAAAGTTCTAACGTTCGTGTTGCACGCGTAATCGCATCGGAATGTTCTACGATTATCTCGATGGATCTAAATCATTCGACACACTTGGCACAAGGCACTACACAGTGTAACGGGACGATCAATAAAGAAAAAAAGTGTAACAGGGCAATAACGAAACTTTAGGAAGGAAACTGGCACTATACTGTACATTGCCGCCTGCGCTGTTGGTTAAAATGCTCTAGTTATATCAATTATAGAAGCACTGCACACGCGTTTCACGAGAACTCCTTTGTGGGTGTGCGCCAGAATAACAAGGATCATCATCATCATTAGAAATTTCATTGGGCACTTCAGCGTGGATAATGTAGTGTGGATGTGTGCCACGGTGCCAAGCTTCTCTGTGGTGTGCCCGAGTAACCGGGAGGCAAGAACACTCGCATTCGCATCGTGTAGGAAAGAAAACGTGTAGGAAAGAAATACGAATCGTTCATTTCGCTTAGCTATACTCTAGGCATCAGTCATAAATTAAGCCTCGAATCTAATGACCGCTTCGACTTTCATCTACTTTCTCTTCAGGCAGTTGCAAGTCTGGCAGAACGTCGCCTGCGCTGCTCGGAGCCCTGCTTGCCTTCACACGCCTTCCGGCATGGCTCTCGGACGCACGACTGTGGGCGTGGCGACGCTTCTTGCCGCTCTTTTAGCACACACTCAGTTGAAGGACGTGGTGCATTTAGGGGTATTTATGAAAGGCATTTAGGGGTATTTATGAAAATAAAAAATACCCTTCAGTGGGATATTGAAATTTTTTTAGAATGATCATCATCAGTCATGACAACAAGAACGATCGGCGGATCTCGAAAAATGAGGTTAGTAAACGTTATTTTGGTGAAACAGGTTTATGATAGTGAAACCTTTATTTTGCGCAGACTATATTGAACACTGTGTCAACAACTCGTAGCAGAATTCAACTAACGACTCATTTGAAGCACTTTCAGTTTTACCTTACGTAGTATAAGAAGTCACTCATGTATCAGTCGTCGAGCATGCATTAAATTACCACGAATGGGTGACACCAATCTATAGAGTCATTCGCTGTACATTATCTCCGATTGTCTATATTAGTTCACGGTCATTTTAAGGCAACGTTACGAGAATGCATTATTCACAATGGAATCATAAGAGTTCTATGCAAACGTGCACCGCCTGACAAAAAATGTCTAAAATTACAACTGATAGAAGGGCAAAGGGATAGGTGACACTGTGCTGCTGATGTTCCAATACTTCCGGTCCTGCTACGGCAGTTCAATAGCACCAATCTAAAATAACCGGGAATAAGTTCGCAAGAAACCTATTAGCAACGTTCGTCTTGTATCTCTAATATCGATAAAAGAACTTGCGAAAGCTGGCAAACGATCTAGAAGTATTAATTTCTTCAGCAACACTCTTATTCTAAATAAGGGTGGGTATTTGACGAAAGTTCTCATAAAAACATCACATACGTGAACGTCAATTGCCTGGACACGTTTGAAAGCACCTGCCTGGTTGCTCTAAATATATGTCTACTCGGAAATATTGCTAAGAACAATGATAAAACTGTCCACTTTGTGTGTGTATATACCATACAGTGCACAATTTATATTACACGTAATATATACGGATATAACTAGAACTGCTTCACAATGTACAATCAAGCGTTGTTAAATGTATTTCTTTTCTGTCAACCACATGTTTTCTTTTTTTTTCTTTGTTGTTGCTGTTAACGCTCATCTAAATTGGCGCATATGTGCGCACAGCAGCTGAAGGCGGCATCAAATGCATCAGTGCAGTCACCATTTAAAAGTTTATGCAGCATGAGCAACCAGAAACAAAGGTGACTTAATTTATTATTCCCCTGCTTCGGCAACTGCAGCCTCGTTTTTACATTTCCACCTTCTAAAACATCTCAGCATTTCTGCGCAGATGAACTGAATACAATTCCAAACTGCCGCAAAATTTGTTTTTCTCTCTATGCCTTTGACGCCAACTGCCGACCAACTCTTGAACGAACACTGTCTCTAAAAAGAAGTAAAATGCCTGTCATAGCGCTTCAAGTTTCCGACGAAGCTCGTCTTGTCCAAGGAAATGGAATTGACCAAGAGCTCGTTTTCTTTACGTTGGCAACAAAACGATACCAACATACAATTAAGCAAACTATCGAGTGTTCAACACTTTTTTGTTTTGTTTTTTCTCGATCTCTGCTTCTGCTTTCTCCTTCCCATTTCCTCTCTCCATTCTAGCCTATAGATGGCGTAATTTGCGTAATTTTTTGGTAATAAGTATGTTCTTGAGCTACACTGGCATGACTGGTCTACAGCATTGATTTCGTGAGGCACCCCACGTGACCACCATAAGTTGAAGCGCAACCGTGAAACGAATTTGCCAGGCCTGCATGTCCAGAACACGCAGCACAGTCACAGAGAAAGCTGGAACAGCGTCCTTTCCAGATACCCTTGTAGGCTATCTTGGGGCAACGAATGCATGTAAATCTGCGATGTATCGACTATATTCGCCATAGACCACCATAAAGTTCAGAAAGTGTGGAAGCAACAAATATGCCACTGTCTTTTTTTTTTTCTGCGCATAAGTATGTACCCGGTTCCCACGTGTAAAGAAGTTCGCACATTGATTGATTGATATGTGGGGTTTAACGTCCCAAAACCACCTTATGATTATGTGAGACGCCGTAGTGGAGGGCTCCGGAAATTTCGACCACCTGTGGTTTTTTAATGTGCACCCAAATCTGAGCACGCGGGCCTACAACATTTCCGCCTCCATCAGAAATGCAGCCGCCGCAGCCGGGATTTGAACCCGCGACCTGCGAGTCAGCGGCCGAGTATTTTAGTCACTAGACCACTGCGGCGGGGGGCAATTCGCACATTTCGTGCTGTGGTTGATGAGAGTGGAAGTATGACATAGGTTGTGAAGAATTGTGGCTGAGCATTGAATGACCCACTAGTTGCGCAGTCCACATTGTATGACACACGGTTGTATTACGATAGTTATGGCGCGAGAACGGAACGACGACAAACAGAAAACAAAGACACGAAGGACACGAGCGCTATGTCATCCGTGTCCTTCATGTCTCTTTGTCGTCGTTCTGTTCTCGCGCTATAACTATCGTCATGTCATACCAACTAGCCCAATCTGCCCAGACGGTTGTAATTTTGTTCTTCCGCGATGCAATACTATATATGTCAACACGGTTCCTTGCCCGACCTATTGCGCTAAATTTAAAAGATGAAACCAGACAGAAATTTCTAAGAGTGTCGACCTTCGATCATGCATGAGTGCCTCTAACACCGGGCGAGATTCCGTGCCCTCAACCTGGCTTTTCAATATCGAACAATGGAGTCAACCTGGGCGAGAGATGCCACCGGTGGCATACTTTTTGCCACCACCCACCCAGCCGATGGCAAGCAGCCACTCCATGTTGTCGGCCATGACTCAGGTGGCAGTTTGTTATTAGGTTGCAGTGAAATCTGCATCGAGGTCACAACAAGAGCATATTTAAACGCCGTAGCTGTATACGGCACAGCCGAAGCTGGTGTCCGTTACCACAAGCGCTATCGCTAGAAATAAATAAAAAATCCTAATCAGAAATTTTTCTAGGAATGGATCGTATTCGAAACCAGTACCTGAGCGTGGCCGTAGCGTATTCTCAGAGACACGCTGGTTCCTGAAACTCTTTCGCTAAAACAAGATACATACAGGTGTCGTATAATGGTTACGCAGAATGACGGTGGTGGACAATTATACCCCACTTCCAGTGCCGTTGTGATTTGAAAACAGCTTTTGCTGTAAAACAGTATTTCCGAATCAGCGTTCAGACTTTGCTCACTTTAGAGATTGGTACAGAGATGTTGATTTCCAGCAAAATTGACGCCGTATATGGGATATGGGAAAGGGCTTTATTTTAAATGGCAGCATCTTCTGACAATGCGCACGAACCGACTCACTAACAATGCGTGCTTCTCTCCCCCCCCCCCCCTTCACACCGGCTCTTACATTCTTAGAAGCACTTTTTGCGGGGCTAGTTGGTACATCTTAATGAGGGAAAATTTCGTGCTTCTCTATGCGTTCTTCTTGTGGTGATTTAGGCGTCTGAAAATTTCCCTCATTTTTTTTTACATTCCTCTCTGATCCTGCCCTTGCAGGACTAAAATCGGTGACTAGCTGCTTGAGATTAGTTTGAGACCCCTGTTTAGAGCAACGGACGCGTTATCAGATTGTTGTCTGAACTGGCAGAAAAAAGTCTTTTCATCAACATTATTTACTGTTGTAGCATAGTTACCGCAGTATAGTTAAAGGCTACTGATAATGCCCTTGTATACTTTCGTGGTCTTCACTCTCTGCTATAGTTAACTGACGCGATGGTCTGATGGTGATGGCGCACCAACGAAATGCAGCGGCTGCATATCGACGCATATAGGCGTGGTGCTGCAGGCCCGTGTACTGATACTTAAGAGCAAGTCAAACGACACTATGGAGATGGTAGAAATTTTCGGAGCTTTCTCCCAAAGCATCAGCCTTAATCGGATCGTGGTTTCAGGACGCGAAAACACAACACTCGTTTTTAATGTTGTCCATTGGTTTCATCGGGTTGTCTTGCAGACGAATGTACATACGTCGGAGATTAGTTAGTAAAAACGTATTGTTCTTTGCTGCCGCTCCAGACGGTTTCACTTTAGTCAGGAGATGCTGTTCAACGGCATGGCTTCGGTGGTGGACTGCGCGGCGCAAACACCTTCGAGGCGTCTGGAATCCGTCGAGCTGATCGTGAAGTTTAACAAGTGCGATATGCGGCAATACAAGCTATTGACTGGCTGCGTCAGGTAAGTCCCGTCACGTGCTGCTCTGAGAAAACATGCCAAAGGAACTCTAATCGCGGTACGATCACAATTGTACGAACTGAGCGATACGTAGACCTACCTATGCACGTCGCATCTATCTTGCACACTCAACATCACTCTTAAAGGACTTCTATAACCAAATTCGGAAACTCGAGATGCTTGTGTTGTTAGAATGTCCGGCACGCGGGGCACTTCTGAACGATTATAAGCGACGGTTGTTGCCTATATTTTAGCTCGGTTTTGAAATACGGGTGATTGCTCACCCGAATAAGCAGGTCCAACCGACATATGTGGTTTGACGTAGACAGGAGCCTCGCGTGACGTTACAGGTGTCGGGCAGTGATTGCGGATGTCAGAGAGCAAGGGGGGGGGGGGGGAGGGGAAACGCATGACATACCCCGAATGGCTCCCAGTAAGGACTATTGTTCGTTACCCCTCTTCATTAACTACTGTTTGTGACCTCTCTGAGAATTGTTCTGAATTAGCATTTATTGCACGATGTTTTAGAACATTTCCGTTCAAAGTGGCCAATACTAGACGCAAAGCTACAAATTACTGTAAGAGTGTCCCAAAGAAACGTCGCTATCACCAGTCTCTTAAGCCCGAAAGCCCTGTTTCGCATGCTAGCGAGTTACCTCCGTCGGTACTTGGTTGTAAGGAAGCCTCACGTAAGGAGAGGACGCGGTCAAAGGAAAAGGAACGTTTCGTTGTTTGGGCCTTAGCGGCGGCGGTCGCGGCGTTGAGCGGCCGCGCGACGCGTCACTAGGCGGCGCGCATGCCGCCATGTTTTGGAGTTGCGGTTATATCTCCCGTCCCACGGGTCTCCTCTTGCGAGTTGGCCTTTTATAACACGCTTGTGCGTGGCTTGGGCTGCGAGTTGCTTTTGTTGCGAGTTGCTCCTTGCACCAGCTTTCTGCTTCGGTGCTCGATTTTTGGCCGCCGCTCGCTCGTCACTCTTTGTTTCAGCGGCGTATACTTTTACTGTTGTCAGCGTTCGTTATAGCGCACAAAAAACCGACGTTTTGCTTCGCTGCATCAGTTTGACAGAAATAAAAATAAAAGGCACGCGTCAATTCTAGTGCTAATACCCACCAGCGGTAATCAACCACATCCGTTCATTTTTCAAGAAAGCAGGCTACAGTAAAGGTAGCATGCGCCTCCCGCAAGAATGGTGGTCACAAATGTTCACTTCGCATCAACCTACCTCATAAATATCGGAACTTTTTACGAGAATTAGTGATCGCAAGAGACTTCGCTAGCCCGCTCGTCTGGTTGTTAACAATCGACGATGGGCTTTTTGTACAGTACCGTAGAGGTAACGTTTATTCGCGGGTTTATTCGCTGTTTTTTCGAGTATGATGGTGAGCTCTGCACACGGCTTCGTTTTTAGTTGAGGACACCGGTTTGCAAGTGCTAAGGACGTCCCTGATCGTTCTACGTCAGGGGCGTCCGTCAGTACGAGTCATGGTGCCCGTCGCGTCTTGGACGCCTTCGAAGGCGCTTGTCTTCGACGTTGTTGTTCCTACGGGGACTAGTGCCGAGACCGTCGTTGATGCGACGGCCTCAATAGTCGGCCTCTCAGAGGTATACTGCGTGCAGCATCAGGGAGCTCGAAACTTCCAAGTCACCGTCAAGAGCATGGCCTCCATGTCTCTAATCGTCAATGCTGGCTGCCTGGTGATTGGCGGCGAGCGTGTTCAAGTCGTTCCCGTTGGCCCACAAGTGACCAACGTCGCCTGCCTGTTCCTGCCATCGTTCGTCTCAAACGAAGCTCTCGTCCAAGCGTTATCCCCATATGGCAAGGTGCTCACTGTCACCAGTGGTTTGATGAGCGGGCGACGCGGCGTACTCACTGGAACGCGGTATGTTCGAATGGAGATGAACGCCGCTAATCCTGTGCCGAACTACCTGCGCATCTCCGGTCACCGTGCTACGTTTGACTACCGTGGTCTCCAGCGTGTATGTCGAAGATGCGGCTCAGGGGACCATCTACGAGCCCAGTGCACAACACCGTATTGTGGTCGCTGCGGTGTGCATGGTCACGTTAGTGAAGGATGTGACCGCCCATGTCGACGCTGCGGGGACGGCCACCCAACTGTGGTTTGCCCTGTCCGGCGCTCTTACTCAGACGCTGCCGCTGGTGCCTTTCCACCACTGGCACCGGCAACGGAACCAACTACCGACTCGGGGGACGCAGAGGAGGTCACCGACGCTGTGCTGGCCTCACCCCTACAAGTTCCTTCAAACGAAGCGCACAACGAAAGCGCGATTGTCGATGCGACACTTGGCGCGTCGGCCTCCCCGCTGGTGCAGGAACCGTGCGCTTCGAAAGACGCAACGCACTGCCCTGAAAACGGCGTCGGCGTCTCTTCTTTGACGCCACTTGATGTTCAGTGCACAAATGACCCCAGTTATCAGGCTGCTGCTGTTGGAGTTGGCCCTACGACCCCTGTTATTTTGGAAAACAGTGGCGAAAACACCACAGCCTCTTCTGTTGCGGCCGCTCCGACCATTTCGACATCGCGTCGTACACGTAAAAAATCGCCCACACAAAGGGTGCCTACACCGGACTGCCGAGACGCGGACAGTGCTGCCAGCATCAAGAATGTGGATCCAAGCTTGCCGGCGGCTCAGTCCCTACCTCCTCAGGACACGTCTTCGGAAGACGGCTTCAGCCTGGGACTGGATAGTAGCATCGGACTGTCTAGCCTTGCCGATTTTGACGTTGAAATGGGAACTCCACGTGAAACAAAGCGAGGGCACACTTCCAGCTCTTGCTCCGATGAACGCAGTGATGGCCGTGGTAAATCCCAACGGTCCAAAAAACCTCGACCCTCTTCTGGAGGGTCGAACAGTGCGTTGTAATTTGGTCGAGCAAGTGTCCCCTGGACACTTTCCAGGACACCGTCTAGAACTATGCGTCCAGGTTAGTCTTTACTTTTTATTATGGCTACTACACTGCATATTATTTCATTGAACGTTCAGGGTTTTCGCAGTCCGGCAAAGCAGGCTGAAGTGATTAGTGTCGCCCGCGCTGCAAATTGTGATGTTTTGTGCCTCCAGGAAACAAATTTTTTCTCGCTATCCGACGTGCTTGCTTTTAAACGAAGGTTCAACCTAGATTGTTATTTCTCTTTTGCTACATCTCGTTTTACGGGAGTAGGTATTATTATTTTTAACCGAGCTCTATTAAGGGACCATCATGCTTTTTACGATGGCGTGGGCAGGGTTTTGGCTTTAGACTGTAGCTACTTTTCTTTCAGATTAAGGATACTGTGTGTGTATGGGCCTGCGCAAGCTGGACAGTCTAATGACTTTTTTAGAGACCTGGATGTGTTTTTTCTTGACGGTCGTGATGTCCTTTTGATTGGCGACTTCAACTGCGTTCTAAATACGCGAACCGATGTACAAGGTCCTGGCTGGGGCCGGTCTGCTTGGAATTCACGCGAGCTTCGCCGCCTTGTCCACCACTTTTCATTACTAGACGCGCACAGTGTAGTGCACGGAAATACCTTTGTTTGGACATGGCGACGTGGACGATCCTCCAGCAGGCTCGACCGGGCTTATATCCCACGAGCGTTAGAGGCGTTTGTCTCTGATTTATGCGTTCCCTCCTTCCCACCTTCTCCTGTGTACGTATCTGATCATCGGCCTATTGTCCCTTGAAGCTCGAAGTTCCATTTTCTTTCTCAGAAAAGCCATGGCGTCTTGATGTTCGCGTCCTGCAGGACGCGTGCTCAAGATCAGATTTGTCACGCGCAATACGTGTGTCGCTCACGGCGTCTGGTCCTGAAGATTGGGATGCGCTTAAAACACAGTGGCGCCTGCGCTGCGCAGTAGAGGGGCGTTCGCTTCGTCGACGCGTTTCTGAAGAGCTTGCTGATACCGCGATGAAGTTACGCATTGCTTTGCGCGCCGAGACGCCTTCTACTCTGATGCGGGCGTGGCAGCGTGAACTGCGTGAACGCTTTCAGCGCTTGACTGCTGCTTCGTCCCTGGCGGCAGCAGCATGGCGCTGTAGACACAACCCATGTGCACATCCCGAGGTGCTGCGCTACGCGAGACATTCCTTTTTTGGGAAATCAGAGCCACCTGTCTCTATGACAGCACAAATACCACCTGCGCAGCGGCTTCCTACGCGTGATCGATCTGTTTTCTTGGCGCATTTTGAAGCAATGTCGTGTTCAGCCATGCGGACTAACTGTGATGAAACACCACCAATGCTTAGAAGTTTGCCCCGTATTCCTCAAGAAGCTGCAGATTGCCTGCACATCCCTCCGTCGGCTGATGAGGTAAAGGCGGCACTGAAATCTATGAAACGTGGAACGGCCCCAGGGCCAGACGGTTTACCTGTTGAGTTTTACTTGACATTTTGGGATGAGATTGGTGCTACATTTACCGCGGTAATCCGGCGATGCTACGAGGACGGTGTCTTTCCATCAAGTTTTCGAGATGACCGCATTGTGCTTATTCCAAAGGGTGATGCTTCCTCTGTTAATCCTTAAGATTGGAGACCTATCACGCTCCTCAACGTTGACTATAAGATATTTGCGGCGGTAGCCGTTCAACGTTTGAGGGGTCTGTTGAACACCCTAATAGGTCATCACCAGACTTCATCAGTGCTTGGACGAGAAATACACAGCTTGTCATATACCACACGGGATATCATAGCTTATACTTTGTCGCGATCTGCGCGTGGTATCCTTGTGTCTTTAGACCAGGAAAAGGCGTTTGACCGACTAGAGCACGCGTATATCTTTAATGTGCTCACAGCCTTCGGCTTTTCTCATTCGTTTGTGGAAATGATTAAAAATACGTACACTGGTCTGAAAAGCACACTAGTTCTGGATGGTTGGGAAAGTGCTGCCTTTTCCATAACACGTGGGGTCCGTCAGGGATGTCCATTGTCTCCTGTGCTATTTGTCCTCAGCCTTGAGCCATACTTGCGTGCTCTTGACGCGGATTCACGTGTCCGGGGTCTT